GACAGTGAAGCACCCTGACAGTGTTATGGTCTGGGGTGCTTTTAATGGTTATAAGGGCAGGGGTGGACTATGCTTCCTTCCTAAGAACATTACAATGAAGGGAAGTTATTATATTGAGGTGTTAAGGGATCACAGGCTGACATTTTGGAACATTCACAACTGTGATATTCTTTATTCATAAGTCAAAAGGAGTGAAACAGTTCCTCAAGGACAATAATATCAGTGTTTTGGAGTGGCCAGGCATTTCCCCTGACCCAAATCCTATCAAGAATGCCTGGCATGTGATGAAAAATGAGATTGCAAAAGCTCGACCCACCAACATCACAGACCTGATGGAGGCACTGAAGTTTTGGATCAACATGGACACCTCCTTCTTCTCCACCCTCTCCACTTTGATGCCCAGGCAACTTTAGATGGTGATAAAGAACAATGGTAACATGACCAAGTACTAGTTGGAAGCTAAAAAGTGAAAATAAAATACATGTACATACATTAAGTTGCATTGTTTTAATTTATCATCAAAAATTTTTTTATGTATAGATTTTTTTATGGCCACTGTACATTACTAAAGTTAAAAAGAGAGACTTTCGTTTTTCTTTTTGGGCCACCTTGCTTGTGGGATACGACCGGTTACTTGAAAGAAGAAGACGTATATAATGTTTGTATATTTTATGACCTTTCCCAAGCTATATACTACAGTGGTACCCCGAGTTTCAAACTTTCTTCATTCTAGGAGGAATAATGTAAATTAGATTAGTCCGTTTCAGACCCCCAAAAATACACTTACAAAAGCACTTACAATAATACACTTACATAAGTGGTTGAGTTGGAAGCAGTTTGAAACTCGGGGTACCACTATATATACCAGCTTGGGAAAGTTCAGTGTATGTTATTCATTTATAATTTATGACATCTATATCTCTTGGATACATCAATGTAGTCATTATACAAATTATATCACTTATGCTATACACAGCAAAAAGAACTTTTGTTTCTATTAAAAGGAGGACAATGCATGAGTCTGCATGAATTTAATGTATAATAGTAGACCATCAGAAAATATTGACTTAAGTAATAAATTATCACACAAGTAGTGCTTGGTTTGATTAATAAAATCCCCAACACAAAAAACATTTTTTTTTTTTTTTTTTTTTTCAACAAGTCGGCCGTCTCCCACCGAGGCAGGGTGACCCAAAAAAGAAAGAAAATCCCCAAAAAGAAAATACTTTCATCATCATTCAACACTTTCACCACACTCGCACATTATCACTGTTTTTGCAGAGGTGCTCAGAATACAACAGTCTAGAAGCATACACATATAAAGATACACAACATATCCCTCCAAACTGCCAATATCCCAAACCCCTCCTTTAAAGTGCAGGCATTGTACTTCCCATTTCCAGGACTCAAGTCCGACTATATGAAAATAACCGGTTTCCCTGAATCCCTTCACTAAATATTACCCTGCTCACACTCCAACAGATCGTCAGGTCCCAAGTACCATTCGTCTCCATTCACTCCTATCTAACACGCTCATGCACGCTTGCTGGAAGTCCAAGCCCCTTGCCCACAAAACCTCCTTTACCCCCTCTCTCCAACCCTTTCGAGGACGACCCCTACCCCTCCTTCCTTTCCCTATAGATTTATATGCTTTCCATGTCATTCTACTTTGATCCATTCTCTCTAAATGACCAAACCACCTCAACAACCCCTCTTCTGCCCTCTGACTAATACTTTTATTAACTCCACACCTTTTCCTAATTTCCACACTCCGAATTTTCTGCATAATATTTACACCACACATTGCCCTTAAACAGGACATCTCCACTGCCTCCAACCATCTCCTCGCTGCTGCATTTACCACCCAAGCTTCACACCCATATAAGAGTGTTGGTACTACTATACTTTCATACATTCCCTTCTTTGCCTCCATAGATAACGTTTTTTGACTCCACATATACCTCAACACACCACTCACCTTTTTTCCCTCATCAATTCTATGATTAACCTCATCCTTCATAAATCCATCTGCCGACACGTCAACTCCCAAGTATCTGAAAACATTCACTTCTTCCATACTCCTCCTCCCCATTTGATTATTCCCAAAATTTTATCTTCACTCTAAAATCATTTACTCCTAACAACCCATCTTTAATATGTTAACTTTCAACCTTTTGACTTACACACTTCCCTGACTACGACTAACCCTTTTGGAAATGTTTTCTTCTAAACTCCCTAACCAGTATATCATCAAAAAAACTTTAATTACCATTTTGAATTTATTCCCAAATACTTGCAAATCCCACCCCTCTCCATCACCATAGCATTTACTTCCTAAACTAAAAACCCCATCTTTTTAAATATGTTAAAAACCATGTGAACATTACACATCCCTCTAAGACCTACTTTTACCGGAATTAATGTCTCCCTCTCTCTCACACCCTAACCTGAGCCTCACTATCTTCATAAAAACTCTTTACAGCATTTAATAACTTACCACCTATTCCATATACTTGCAACATCTGCCACATTGCTCCTCTATCCACTCTATCATATGCCTTTTCTAAATCCATAAATGCAATAAAAACTTCCCTACCTTTATCTAAATACTGTTCACATATATGCTTCAATGTAAACACTTGATCTACACATCCCCTACCCACTCTGAAACCTCCTTGCTCATCCGCAATCCTACATTCTGTCTTACCTCTAATTCTTTCAATTATAACCCTACCGTACACTTTTCCTGGTATACTCAGTAAGCTTATTCCTCTATAATTTTTACAGTCTCTTTTGTCCCCTTTCCCTTTATATAAAGGGACTATACATGCCTCCGCCAATCCCTAGGTACCTTCCCCTCTTTCATACATTTATTGAACAAAGTACCAACCACTCCAACACTATATCCCCCCCTGCTTTTAACATTTCTGTCATGATCCCATCAGTACCAGCTGCTTTACCCCCCTTTCATTTTACGTAATGCCTCACGTACCTCCCCCACACTTACATTCTGCTCTTCTTCACTCCTAAAAGATGGTATACCTCCCTGACCAGTGCATGAAATTACTGCCTCTGTTTCTTCCTTAACATTTAAAAGTTCCTCAAAATATTCTCGCCATCTACCTAATACCTCCATCTCCCCATCTACTAACTCCCCTACTCTGTTTTTAACTGACAAATCCATATTTTCCCTTGGCTTTCTTAACTTGTTTAACTCACTCCAAAATTTTTCTTATTTTCATTAAAATTTCTTGACAGTGCCTCTCCCACTCTATCATCTGCTCTCCTTTTGCACTCTCTCACCACTCTCTTTACCTTTCTTTTACTCTCCATATATTCTGCTCTTCTTATAACACTTCTGCTTTGTAAAAACCTCTCATAAGCTACCTTTTTCTCTTTTATCACACCCTTTACTTCATCATTCCACCAATCACTCCTCTTTCCTCCTGCACCCACCCTCCTATAACCACAAACTTCTGCCCCACATTCTAATACAGCATTTTTAAAACTATTCCAACCCTCTTCAACCCCCCCATTACTCATCTTTGCACTATCCCACCTTTCTGCCAATAGTCGCTTATATCTCGCCCGAACTTCCTCCTCCCTTAGTTTATACACTTTCACCTCCCTCTTACTTGTTGTTGCCACCTTCCTCTTTTCCCATCTACCTCTTACTCTAACTGTAGCTACAACTAAATAATGATCCGATATATCAGTTGCCCCTCTATAAACATGTACATCCTGGAGCCTACCCATCAACCTTTTATCCACCAATACATAATCTAATAAACTACTTTCATTACGTGCTACATCATACCTTGTATATTTATTTATCCTCTTTTTCATAAAATATGTATTACTTATTACCAAATTTCTTTCTACACATAGCTCAATTAAAGGCTCCCCATTTACATTTACCCCTGGCACCCACAAATTTACCTACTACTCCCTCCATAACATTTTTACCCACTTTAGCATTGAAATCCCCAACCACCATTACTCTCACACTTGATTCAAAACTCCCCACGCATTCACTCAACATTTCCCAAAATCTCTCTCTCTCCTCTACACTTCTCTCTTCTCCAGGTGCATACACGCTTATTATAACCCACTTTTCACATCCAATCTTTATTTTACTCCACATAATCCTTGAATTAATACATTTATAGTCCCTCTTTTCCTGCCATAGCTTATCCTTCAACATATTGCTACTCCTTCTTTAGCTCTAACTCTATTTGAAACCCCTGACCTAATCCCATTTATTCCTCTCCACTGAAACTCTCCCACCCCCTTCAGCTTTGTTTCACTTAAAGCCAGGACATCCAGCTTCTTCTCATTCATAACATCCACAATCATCTCTTTCTTATCATCTGCACAACATCCACGCACATTCAGACTTCCCACTTTGACAATTTTCTTCTTCTTATTCTATTTAGTAATCTTTACAGGAAAAGGGGTTACTAGCCCATTGTTCCCGGCATTTAGTTGACTTTTACAACACGCATGGCTTACGGAGGAAAGATTCTTATTCCACTTCCCCATGGATATAAAAGGAAAAGTAATAAGACCAAGAACTATTAGATAAAATCAAAGAAAACTCAGATGAGTGTGTATGAATAAATGTGTATATGTATGTGTAGTGTGACCTAAGTGTAAGTAGAAGTAGCAAGACGTACCTGTAATCTTGCATATTTATGAGACAGACAAAAGACATCAGCAATCCTACCATCATGTAAAACAATTACAGGCTTTCGTTTTACACTCACTTGGCAGGACGGTAGTACCTCCCTGGGTGGTTGCTGTCTACCAACCTACTACCTAAACATAAAAACATAAACTTATATAAGAGGAGAAATTCATTTGCAGTTTTTACATCTTTCACTTTCAATTTAATAAACTGTATGAACACCAAAATATTTGACTTAAGAAATTTATTTAACCAGTTAAAAATCATATCCCTTGGAATAATCATCATTTTGCTTTAAAAAAAAAAAAAAAAAAAAAAAAAAAAAAAAAAAAAAATCTTGATCAAAATTTAATGTCACTACATACTTAAAACTCAAATACTGTACTATGCTAATTTTATCTAGAATATATTCAAAATTTTAACAGTGACTCACAAAATTTGGCTAAGTGAATTAACACAACAGTTAAATGATACCATATAATACTTTGCAATAATGTCTGTTTAATAAAAGGTATCTGGTTATGGTGCTAACAAATCCAACACAAATTCACTGACTTATTACAGTATGCAAAAAATTATTCAACATTGCTAAATTTTATAAATCCACAAGGCTGTAATAATTGTTCAAAAATAATGTGCACATATTTGAAAAAAAAAAAAAACAGCTGCTCCATCCAATGGATCATTCTTATTAATTTGAATATGTATATACTGTACCTGATTAAACAGTGACATTTTTATCTCATTCCAATATACTGGCATCTGTATTTACAAACAAGAAACGGTGCTATATAACCAAAAGCATTAACATAATCTCATCCTGCTATATGGGGCACAACTCTTGAACTTTCCACCGACTCTCAGGCTTAACAAGTACGGCAGCATTAGCTATTCGGGATACAACTGCTGATACATCTTTTGCTGGTAGATCTGATCCCCATATTTCCATCAGAAGGTCATCTACGGTGGTGTCTAGCCTCTTTTCAACCAGTTCATCATAATGACCATGAACTTCTATTATGGGAAAGAGCACAGCCTGAAAGATTATAAAATTAGAAACAAGCCTGAACAAATAACAGATACATTACTTCTAACATGCACATAATCAATATATTATATATTCTACAACTCATTGTACAAATATTAGTCACATACCATGTATTTTTCTTCATAATTAATAATACTAATGAAATGGTTATGAATGCCATATTACATATAGCAAGCTTCTCCTATAAAAATGGAAGGTATGAAGAAATCCTTAAAATAAGATATTCCTTTGATGAGAGCACATATGGTATATGTACATGAACTGGTACTAAAATTTCAATGTGTCCAAAAGAGATATAGTAATCAAAAGATACTATGTACAGTATCGTTATAAATAATTAATAAATTATAAATATCTCTTATATAAATACCTGCTTAAATGGTGCATTTTCATTGTCACAGTAAGCATGAAAGATCGTGGCTGCTTCTCCTGGGATTTTTTCAATATTGTGTATGACAGCTGCATGTGCCTTCATCAGTCCTTGAAGAACATTGTCCAACTCCTCCTTTAAGGTACGATGATGTGATGCAGCATCACTTTTTCCATCATACATAACAAACCTGGAATCTAAGGAAAACATATATTCACAACTACATTACAAACCACAATTCTGTACACAGGGAAAACTTAAAAGTTATGAAAAAGGCCATTGTATTGTATAAGTGAAAATAAAGGGAAGGTTTAGACAAAGATAAAAGGAAATTAAGGCAGGTGAATCTAAGTGAATGAGAGCCAGAGTAGGAGGAGCAATAAACAAACAACTGTAGAAAGAAAAAGAAAGGTAGGTACTTTATAAATATTTAAACTCGCAAATTGTTTGGTTTATATGCCCAGAGGAATGTAGGAGAGATTCTGGGAGGTGTTAAGTGAATGTGTATGAAATTTTCAACTAAGCACATGAGCAATTGTTTTAATAGACCCTAGTGAGTGCTAAGAAAGGGAAGAAGGCACTGTAGTACAGAGCATAAAAGAAAAGGTTGGAATACCAGAGGCAAATGACAGTAGAGGACCTTAAATTGAACTATGTTTAGGAAAAGTTTTAGTAATAGGCAGTACAAATTTGAAGAGGATAAACAAGTTGAAGACATATGATAAAGAGCTCCATGAGATCTGTTTGTTACACTGTGAATTACAGAATAGTGCCAATGGATAACGAATGAATTATATAAAGGAGGTAGATGGCTAGTGACAGTCATGAGAAACAATTGGGAGAAAGGTAGGCTAAGGTAAGAGAAAGTGATAAAAAAAAAAAAAAGGAGGTTGAGTAGGCATAGTGTGGGTTTAAGAACACAGTGCTTTAGTTTGCCACAAAGGTTTGTAGTTATAGGAGGGTGGGTGTGGCAGGAAAGAGGAATGATTGATGGAATAATGAGGCTAAAAGGGTGATAAGGAAGAGTATACAAAAAGATTTTATAATGTAAGCATTATAAAAGGCAGAATAAAGAAATAAACAGTTACAATACCGTGGCTGGAGCAATATGCAAATAATCTAAAACTACCCTATAAAGTGTACAGATATTGGTACCTGGGCCAATTTTACATAAAATTCAGTGAATTCTAATCTAAAAACAGAGTCCAAAATAAACATTGTAGGTATTCCAGCAACTAAAGCAACATTTTTTTTGTTCATTAATAATGTCCCAAGCCTCTCTTATATAACACTTGCCCTCCATTTTGAATCCATCATCATAAAAATTAAAGTATTCACCTATTTCTTAACTGTAGCATACCTGTAGAGGGTTTCAGAGATCAATGCCCTCACGGCTTGGTCAGTGACCAGGCCTATAAAATATAAGCAAGAATGGCTTGTCGTGGTTTAGGCCATCCCAATAATTAAACTAGCCCTAGTAAAAACCCATAAAACAGACCAGGGAAGGGGGGTGGGAGGGCTCTTACTGTTCCTTATGAAAATTGCCAAAAATCAAATATTTCCACTACTCTGAGGCCTATTTCAAGCCAATTCAGTCTGAAACTGACAAAACTCATCTCCATTTCACTAGTCTGTCTTCCTTTCTATCAACTGTTACCAACAAACAGCCAATAAAACCATAAAACCACTCTAGAATATGCATGAAAGTCACTCTCTTAAAGTAAACACAAGGTCAGAGGATAGCTGTTCCCATCATGCACTACATAAATCAGGAGTTTATTTTTTACACTGTGCACATCCACTGCACAGACCCATTCTCTCATGTCTAGGTCAAAATTTACCACTCACAACATATCTGCAAGAGCTACAATTAAGAAGGAGAACTATGCAAATACCACCGGCATCTTTAATGTAGATTATAGTAAGACAGTGAAAGGGGCAAGTTAAGAATTTGAACTTCCAGATTTCATCTGTGAGTGAATTAGAGCGAAACACATGAAGATGAGTAGTTCAAAGATTTAATGTGCTACAGGAGTATAAGCAGTTAGCTGGCTATGAGTTTTGGAGGTTGAAAAATACCAGTAGAATGTTTTTCTGAAAAGAAGTGATAAAGAATATAATGGTGAATGTAATTTATTCGTTGAGACACCATGCCCTGAAAATTCATTAAAATTTGCTGATTAACAATATCTTTTTGAAACACACAGGCCATCTCCTACCAAGGTAGGGTGACCCAAAAAAGGAGAAACATTTTCACTATCATTCACTCTATCACTGTCCTACCAGAGTTGTGTTGATACTACAGTTCAAATGCCCCTCCAAACTGCAAATACTGTATCCCCACCCCTCCTTCAGAGTGCAGGCACTGTACTTTCCACCTCCAGGACTCCAGTCTGGCTAACTAGTTTCCCTGAATCCCTTCACAGATGTTATCTTGCTCACACTCCAATAGTTCATCAAATCCCAAAAACCATTTGTCTCCACTCACTCCTATCTAACACATTCACATGCAAGTACTGGATGTCCAAGCCCCTCACATCACAACTTTTACCCCTCACTCCCTACTAAAATCACCTCCAAATCACTTTTTGTCCATCCCCTATCAAGTACAAACCTCCTTTACCCCTACCCCACTTCCCCTCCACTACAGATTTATACACCCTCCAAATCATCCTTTTTTGCTCCATCCTCTCTAAATACAAGTTACAAATTCTCTGCATAATGTTTACACCACACATTGCCCTCACACACAACATCTCAATTACCTCCAGCCTCATTCTCACTGCAACATTCACAACCCATGCTTCACACCCATATAAGAGTGTTGGTACCACTATGCTCCCGTTTTTGCCTCCACAGATAACGTTCTTTGTTTCCACAGATGCCTCAACGCACCACCCACCTTTTTCTCCTCATCAATTCTATGGTTTATCTATTCTTTCATAGACCCATCCAATAAAGTTTTTCTTCTTATATTTAGTAATTTATACAGAAGGGGTTACTAGCCCCTTGCTCCTGGCATTTTTGTTGCCTTTTACAACACACAGGGCTTATAGAAGAAGGATTCTTTTCCATTTCTTCATGGAGATGAAGAGAAATAAACATGAACAAGAACTACAGAGACCCCTACATACGAACATTCGTGCTGCGTACTTTCAATAATATGAACAATTTGCAGGAAGTGCGAAGATGTAAACAATACATAGCAGATTACTCTAGCAGCAGCATTCATAGGTGTGTGTGTGTGCTCTCTCGACAAATTCAGTGTTATTTGTGATTATCATACCCCAACATGTCTGGTGTTTAGCACAAAAGCAGTGATGATGCAGGTGGTAGTGTTAAGAAGCACCAGGCCATCACAATGGAAACAAAAGTGGACATAATAATGTATTTTTGTATTTTTCCTGTGTTCACGTATATGTTTAAACTATGCACACTTCTAGGTTACTCCATGTTTATACATACATACATATACTACACTATTGTATACATACATACGTTTGACTTACGTACAAACAGACTTATGAACGACCTCTCGGAACCAAACCTGTTCATATGTAGGGGAGAGACTGTAATATAAGGCTTTACTACTATGAACAAAATACAGTAACACCATACCTTCAAATGCATATTTAATAGCCTCTGCAATCCTGTGTATGAGACATGTTGCCGTTCCACGTGCATCCTCTGGTACAACAACAAGTATGACAGCTGGCTGGTTTGGATTATCAACCATTATAGATTCTATCTGGCTAAGCAATTGAATCCACAAATATCTAGGTTGAGAAAATAATTTGTTTATATATTTGAGCTGTTTTTTAATATCTTCATACACTTCTTTAATTGACTTAGTGTGAACCTTTGGGTTTTGATCTTGTTCTGTTTTATTTGAATAAAGTAATAATGCTCCCAAGCCAGCTAACAGACAGAGGATGAAAATTATTTTTAGAAATCTTAGTGAAGCATTTCTCTTGTGTTTACTAAGATCTTCAGGATAAAGGTTCTTGACAGGGCTTTCCTTCTCTGGTGTAACAGGTAACTCCTTAGGCAAAGGCTTTGAGCTAGTTCTTGAATAGCACTGAGAGCGACTGGTGCCAAAGGAATCATTTGTTGAATCACAAAATGATTTAAGGAAGGGATCCTGATTTGGTGAAGATTCATTATACATAGTGATTTCATCCTCTGATAGGATTGGATACAGAGGAGCCTTGCGAGGGGAGGTGCGGGCCACATCATCAATGCCATCTGTTGCATTTAAGGTGTCTTCATCACTACTTATCTCATCTTTCAGCTGTTGGGTAAAACATGCAAAGATGAAATTTAATTACAGACAAAAACTTGAATAGATAAGAAGCAATTAAAATATATTTCTGAATTTATATTTCACGAATCACATGAGGAATATCTATGTTTGCATAGCCTCTATATTACCAGTATTTAAGACTCAAATAACTTTTTTTACTTGGTTAAGCTTTTGTTTACCCCCAGTGCACATGCATGTGAAGGCTTACTCAGCCCTGTAAGATCTTATGTTAGTATGGCCAAGGCTGGCTCCTCCTTAGGAAAAGAAATAATAGAAAAAATAACAATAACATACAAATGTAAAAACTGAAAATGTAAAACACGTAAACATGAGCTTTTATCCTATTTGAAAGAAAAATGAAAAATGAAATAGAAAAAAGTGATAATTGAATTCAACACTAATTTGTACAGGTGTCATGGTAGATCATGTTGATGTTGACACAGCGCATTGTAGAAACTGTAGCAGTTGCTGATGCTGTGGGGGGGAGGGGGGGTCACAGCTGGTGAGTGACAACTCAACAACTATTCAGTCACAGTACGTCTAGCCTTGAATGATCCGTCAAGATGATAGGAACGCAGGTCTTTCACCACTGCAGAGATGAGGGGAAGCTGCCTGGGTGTAGCTACAATATGGTACATAATCATGGGTGATGTCTCTTAGCCTGGTTAGGTTCCTCTCCTTCAAACTCTCTCTGTAGTTGCCAGATGACTCTAGCTGGCAGTCCAAGCTAGAAAGAGACAAAAGTTAACCACTGCTCGATAAATCCCTCTCCATGATAAGTGTAAGGCATTTAAAAGAATGGTGAGGATTTAAAGACAAGATTTTTAAACATGAAAGTCAAGGCAGGAAGAACTAGGTCTCAAGATTAGATAAAAGTGAAGCTTTTAACTAATATATCAAATAAAACAGGAGCAGAGGCATTTTACTTACAGATGTGTTGGGAGCTGTGAGTCAAGTGATTATCCATTTGGTCGGAGTCCCACACGTCACCTTTCAGTGTGGAGAAAGGGAGGAAGGATAGCGGGAGATAGACACTGACCCTACCTTAACAAACAGACTGCCAATCAAACTATCGTTATAATATATCCGCTCGCTACTCCTATCTGTTGAACTTTTCCCTCACAATGCATAATAGTTCCCCCTCTAGTATTCATCTCAGACACTACTCGCCGTATATGGTTGCCTCTCTACATTAGTTACAGATCTATTTCATCATTATGAACTCCCATGACTTTTGCACACATTCTATTTGCTCTGCCACTCTGGGAACTATAATAAATAAATAAATAAACAAATAAATAAATATATATAATATATATATATATATATATATATATATATATATATATATATATATATATATATATATATATATATATTTTTTTTTTTTTTTCAACAAGTTGGTCGTCTCCCACCGAGGCAGGGTGACCCAAAAAAGAAAGAAAATCCCCAAAAAAAATACTTTCATCATCATTCAACACTTTCACCACACTCACACATTATCACTGCTTTTGCAGAGGTGCTCAGAATACAACAGTTCAGAAGCATATACGTATAAAGATACACAACATATCCCTCCAAACTGCCAATATCCCAAACCCCTCCTTTAAAGTGCAGGCATTGTACTTCCCATTTCCAGGACTCAAGTCCGACTATAAGAAAATAACCGGTTTCCCTGAATCCCTTCACTAAATATTACCCTGCTCACACTCCAACAGATCGTCAGGTCCCAAGTATCATTCGTCTCCATTCACTCCTATCTAACACGCTCATGCACGCTTGCTGGAAGTCCAAGCCCCTCGCCCACAAAACCTCCTTTACCCCCCTCTTTCCAACCCTTTCGAGGACGACCCCTACCCCTCTTTCCTTCCCCTATAGATTTATATGCTTTCCATGTCATTCTACTTTGATCCATTCTCTCTAAATGACCAAACCACCTCAACAACCCCTCTTCTGCCCTCTGACTAATACTTTTATTAACTCCACACCTTCTCCTAATTTCCACACTCCGAATTTTCTGCATAATATTTACACCACACATTGCCCTTAGACAGGACATCTCCACTGCCTCCAACCGTCTCCTCGCTGCTGCATTTACCACCCAAGCTTCACACCCATATAAGAGTGTTGGTACTACTATACTTTCATACATTCCCTTCTTTGCCTCCATAGATAACGTTTTTTGACTCCACATATACCTCAACGCACCACTCACCTTTTTTCCCTCATCAATTCTATGATTAACCTCATCCTTCATAAATCCATCCGCCGACACGTCAACTCCCAAGTATCTGAAAACATTCACTTCTTCCATACTCCTCCTCCCCAATTTGATATCCAATTTTTCTTTATCTAAATCATTTGACACCCTCATCACCTTACTCTTTTCTATGTTCACTTTCAACTTTCTACCTTTACACACATTCCCAAACTCATCCACTAACCTTTGCAATTTTTCTTTAGAATCTCCCCATAAGCACAGTATCATCAGCAAAAAGTAACTGTGTCAATTCCCATTTTGAATTTGATTCCCCATAATTTAATCCCACCCCTCTCCCAAACACCCTAGCATTTACTTCCTTTACAACCCCATCTATAAATATATTAAACAACCATGGTGACATTACACATCCCTGTCTAAGACCTACTTTTACCGGGAAGTAGTCTCCCTCTCTTCTACACACCCTAACCTGAGCCTCACTATCCTCATAAAAACTCTTTACAGCATTTAATAACTTACCACCTATTCCATATACTTGCAACATCTGCCACATTGCTCCTCTATCCACTCTATCATATGCCTTTCTAAATCCATAAATGCAATAAAAACTTCCCTATCTTTATCTAAATACTGTTCACATATATGCTTCAATGTAAACACCTGATCTACACATCCCCTACCCACTCTAAAACCTCCTTGCTCATCCGCAATCCTACATTCTGTCTTACCTCTAATTCTTTCAATTATAACCCTACCGTACACTTTTCCTGGTATACTCAGTAAGCTTATTCCTCTATAATTTTTACAGTCTCTTTTGTCCCCTTTTTCCCCTTTTTATAAAGGGACTATACATGCTCTCTGCCAATCCCTAGGTACCTTCCCCTCTTTCATACATTTATTAAACAAAAGTACCAACCACTCTAACACTATATCCCCCCCTGCTTTTAAAAATTTCTATCATGATCCCATCAGTTCCAGCTGCTTTACCCCCTTTCATTTTACATAATGCCTCACGTACCTCCCCCACACTTACATTCTGCTCTTCTTCACTCCTAAAAGATGGTATACCTCCCTGACCAGTGCATGAAATTACTGCCTCTGTTTCTTCCTTAACATTTAAAAGTTCCTGAAATATTCTCGCCATCTACCCAATACCTTCATCTCCCCATCTACTAACTCCCCTACTCTGTTTTTAACTGACAAATCCATATTTTCCCTAGGCTTTCTTAACTTGTTTAACTCACTCCAAAATTTTTTCTTATTTTCATTAAAATTTCTTGACAGTGCCTCTCCCACTCTATCATCTGCTCTCCTTTTGCACTCTCTCACCACTCTCTTTACCTTTCTTTTACTCTCCATATACTCTGCTCTTCTTATAACACTTCTGCTTTGTAAAAACCTCTCATAAGCTACCTTTTTCTCTTTTATCACACCCTTTACTTCATCATTCCACCAATCACTCCTCTTTCCTCCTGCCCCCACCCTCCTATAACCACAAACTTCTGCCCCACATTCTAATACTGCATTTTTAAAACTATTCACATATATAATATATAAACTACTAAATATAAATAAAATATATATATATATAATATATATATATATAATATATATATATATATATATATATATATATATATATATATATCCTGACTGGTATTTAGGCTATGTTCTCAAAGTCCGCTATGTCTGGTGTACTGTCACCAATGTGGTGGAAATCTTTGAGAACTCCAGCACTAGCAGTATTGATTTCATGACAGACAGCCAGCCAGCCACTTAAGCATAAGTAAGTAGGTACAGGTACACAAATACAATTACACAAATTATCATACATCCCCTGCCTAATGCAATGGTTTTGTCTCCTCAGATGCAGGCTCATCCTACCATCAATGCTTCTATCATCCTACGATCTTCACCATCTCTTCAGTCAGTGGTTGCAGGTCATTTTGCATTTTCTATCACTGTTGTCAACATTTCATCTCAATTAACAATCCAACCATATAAGAGCTCTCCCAGGCCTCATCTGAAAAGCTAATTGGTGCCTACATGATTCAGTTTCATGATACTATGGATAGTGCTGTTGAGCAAGTGTATAACATCTCCACCCAGGTCAATGATTATGATATCACTAGCACAGGGACTTGTGACTCTTCTATGTATTGCTATCTGACATTCACAAGGCTTTTGTTTTGCCATCCCTTTCATTTCATGTATCAATGGCTCTGATGCCATTACTCATTACCAGAGGACTCTGAAATGTGTTTATTCTTCAAGATGTTTCAAAAGAAGACAAGTGTTCAGCCTCAGGGAATTCTTGATTCTGCCTTCACTAGGACTATGAAGGTCACCAATTCAGTTAATACCCTTTTCATCAAGCAGGACATTCTCCTTTACTCCAATGCTAAGGATGCAATGATTGCTCAGCAGCCCAATTTCATTTTGGAGCTGTTGGCCCAGGCTGAGAACACTTACCTACCTTATTTCATGTCAGTATAGCAAGTTATTTTTGATAACCAGATTAATGATATGTGAACTTGATCACAAGTGGTTACTGGTGCTAATTCACCTATGTACACTATTCTTCTTTTGTGAGTGTAAAATGGTTGGGATTTTTCTGGTTTGTTAGGGAGACAAGCTTAAGCAAAATCTTCTAACCCAGAATGCAGGGCTTTGTCCACTGCCAGTATAAGATATCATTTGCTTGCAGCCACAATGATATGCCTGTGTCCATCTAGCAATTTGGTTAAACAATAGCCCAAGGTACACAGGATGAGTTTTCCTTGTGTCTGGTGCTCTGCACTTTGAGTATCCTCCTTATGGTCCTCACTTGCTGCCTCCACCTACTGGTGGTTGGTTCCCTATGTTGTTCACAAAACCTGAACACAGCCTATGCTGTTTTGAAATGTGAAAAACTACTTCTGTTTAGGGTTCTTTTTTGTGTCAGATGTTTATCTTCAGATTGTACTAACTGCTGGTCCAGGATGAGTAATATATCTGAGATGGATGCTGGAGGGAACAACTGCATATGCACAAGGAGGTAATAAAAAAAGTTATTTGAGTATACTAGTAAAATAGAGATAACACAGACAGATAGCTATTCCTTCCATGGTTCATGGAACCCTTCCCAGAAAGCAGTTTTTCATATTTAAAAATTGTATATAGTACAGTATTTGAATTCTCAAAATTTACAGAAAATTTTACTAGACATATCTTATTCACAATAGATGACCACTATATTACTGTAGGTTATTTCTGTCTTACCATATGACACTCAGGAGATTGTGCAGCATTTACCCTATTTTGTGCATAAGGAGAACCTCTCTCTCTAGATGGTGGAGACAGGTTGCTGTCGTGCAGGCCTGGTCGAGGTGTAACACCAGATTTCAATCGAGACTTTGGCATCATCTATGTCTGTAAAGTACTGCATATAAATATTAATATTTTATTATAAAGAGTCAAATCCTGGAGGGAAATAGAGCAGTTTACATATGAGATGTTCTCAAAACGTGTATGTGTGCGTGCATATATATATATATATATATATTTTTTTTTTTTTTTTTTTTTCAACAAGTCGGTCGTCTCCCACCGAGGAAGGGTGACCCAAAAAAAAGAAAGAAAATCCCCAAAAAGAAAATACTTTCATCATCATTCAACACTTTCACCACACTCACACATTATCACTGCTTTTGCAGAGGTGCTCAGAATACAACAGTTTAGAAGCATATACATATAGAGATACACAACATATCCCTCCAAACTGCCAATATCCCAAACCCCTCCTTTAAAGTGCAGGCATTGTACTTCCCATTTCCAGGACTCAAGTCCGACTATATGAAAATAACCGGTTTCCCTGAATCCCTTCACTAAATATTACCCTGCTCACACTCCAACAGATCGTCAGGTCCCAAGTATCATTCGTCTCCATTCACTCCTATCTAACACGCTCATGCACGCTTGCTGGAAGTCCAAGCCCCTCACCCACAAAACCTCCTTTACCCCCTCTTTCCAACCCTTTCGAGGACGACCCCTACCCCTCTTTCCTTCCCCTATAGATTTATATGCTTTCCATGTCATTCTACTTTGATCCATTCTCTCTAAATGACCAAACCACCTCACCAACCCCTCTTCTGCCCTCTGACTAATGCTTTTATTAACTCCACACCTTCTCCTAATTTCCACACTCCGAATTTTCTGCATAATATTTACACCACACATTGCCCTTAGACAGGACATCTCCACTGCCTCCAACCGTCTCCTCGCTGCTGCATTTACCACCCAAGCTTCACATCCATATAAGAGTGTTGGTACTACTATACTTTCATACATTCCCTTCTTTGCCTCCATAGATAACGTTTTTTGACTCCACACATACCTCAACGCACCACTCACCTTTTTTCCCTCATCAATTCTATGATTAACCTCATCCTTCATAAATCCATCCGCCGACACGTCAACTCCCAAGTATCTGAAAACATTCACTTCTTCCATACTCCTCCTCCCCAATTTGATATCCAATTTTTCTTTATCTAAATCATTTGATACCCTCATCACCTTACTCTTTTCTATGTTCACTTTCAACTTTCTACCTTTACACACATTCTCAAACTCATCCACTAACCTTTGCAATTTTTCTTTAGAATCTCCCATAAGCACAGTATCATCAGCAAAAAGTAACTGTGTCAATATATATATATATATATATATATATATATATATATATATATATATATATATATATATATATATATATATAATAGAACATGTATATATATTAAATATTATATAATATATACATATATATATATATTCAATCATATATATATATATATATATATATATATATATATATATATATATATATATATAGATATATATATATATTTTGGGAGTGGACATGTCAGCGGATGGGTCTATGAACGATGAGGTGAATCATAGAATTGATGAGGGGAAAAGAGTGAGTGGTGCACTTAGGAGTCTGTGGAGACAAAGAACTTTGTCCTTGGAGGCAAAGAGGGGAATGTATGAGAGTATAGTTTTACCAACGCTCTTATATGGGTGTGAAGCATGGGTGATGAATGTTGCAGCGAGGAGAAGGCTGGAGGCAGTGGAGATGTCATGTCTGAGGGCAATGTGTGGTGTGAATATAATGCAGAGAATTCGTAGTTTGGAAGTTAGGAGGAGGTGCGGGATTACCAAAACTGTTGTCCAGAGGGCTGAGGAAGGGTTGTTGAGGTGATTTGGACATGTAGAGAGAATGGAGCAAAACAGAATGACTTCAAGAGTGTATCAGTCTGTAGTGGAAGGAAGGCGGGGTAGGGGTCGGCCTAGGAAAGGTTGGAGAGAGGGGGTAAAGGAGGTTTTGTGTGCGAGGGGGCTTGGACTTCCAGCAGGCATGCGTGAGCGTGTTTGATAGGAGTGAATGGAGACAAATGGTTTTTAATACTTGACGTGCTGTTGGAGTGTGAGCAAAGTAACATTTATGAAGGGGTTCAGGGAAACCGGCAGGCCGGACTTGAGTCCTGGAGATGGGAAGTACAGTGCCTGCACTCTGAAGGAGGGGTGTTAATGTTGCAGTTTAAAAACTGTAGTGTAAAGCACCCTTCTGGCAAGACAGTGATGGAGTGAATGATGGTGAAAGTTTTTCTCTTTCGGGCCACCCTGCCTTGGTGGGAATCGGCCAGTGTGATAAAAAAAATATATATATATATATATATATATATATATAATATATATATATATATATATATATATATATATATATATATATATATATATATATAATATATATATATATATACACACAACATATCTCTCCAAACTGCCAATATCCCAAACCCTTCCTTTAAAGTGCAGGCATTGTATTTCCCATTTCCAGGACTCAAGTCCGGCTATATAAAAATAACCTGTTTCCCTGAATCCCTCCACTAAATATTACCCTGCTCACACTCCAACAGCTCGTCAGGTCCCAAATACCATTCGTCTCCATTCACTCCTATCTAACACACTCATGCATAACAACAAAAAAGGGCACAATACCGTGACTGGAACGATACACAAATAACCCGCACATAAAAGAGAGAAGCTTACGACGACGTTTCGGTCCGACTTGGACCGTCGACAAAGTCACTTTGTCAATGGTCCAAGTTGGACCGAAACGTCGTCGTAAGCTTCTCTCTTTTATGTGCGGGTTATTTGTGTAACACTCATGCATGCCTGCTGGAAGTCCAAGCCCCTCGCCCACAAAACCTCCTTTACCCCCTCCTTCCAACCTTTTCGAGGACGACCCCTACCTCGCCTTCCTTCTCCTACAGATTTATATGCTCTCCATGTCATTCTACTTTGATCCATTCTCTTTAAATGACCAAACCACCTCAACAACCCCTCTTCTGCCCTCTGACTAATACTTTTATTAACTCCACACCTTCTCCTAATTTCCACACTCCGAATTGTTTGCATAATATTCACACCACACACTGCCCTTAGACAGGACATCTAAACTGCCTCCAACCGCCTCCTTGCTGCAGCATTTACAACCCAAGCTTCACACCCATATAAGAGTGTTGGTACTACTACACTTTCATCCATTCCCTTCTTTGCCTCCATAGATAATGTTTTTTGTCTCCACATATATCTCGACGCACCACTCGCCTTTTTTCCTTCATCAATTCTATGATTAACCTCATCCTTCATAAATCCATCTGCTGACACGTCAACTCCCAAATATCTGAAAACATTCACTTCCATACTCCTTCTCCCCAATTTGATATCCAATTTTTCTTTATCTAAATCATTTGATACCCTCATCACCTTACTCTTTTTTATGTTCACAGACAGACATACATACATACATACATGCATACATACATACATACATACATACATACATACATACCTAATCACCTAGTTAAATTTGACTCCCTTGAAGTACTCTCTTTGGAAGGCTATACAATGATCCTAGCACCTCTGCCACTTCCAAAAACATTTCTGGAGCTCTTCTGTCCTAAAGACATTGAGCACGGCCTGCCATTTCACTTGAATCTTCTCCATGTTAAAACACTGCCCTTGAATACCATTTCTATCTTTGGGAAGACAAAGGAGTTACAGGGGGCCTAGATCTGGGGATGACAACCATGTTATCTTTGGCCAGAAAACATTCAATAGAATGTGCTGCATGAGCAGGGGCATTGTCATGGTGACTGGACCAATCACAACACTGGACTTTCCCTTCTCACATCTTCCTTAAATATCACAGAACCTTGATGTAAAAATTTTGGTTAACAGTCTTCTGGCCTGAACAAATTCTTGATGAACAATTCCCAATCAAACCATACCCCCGGCTGGGATTGAACCCGCGGTCATAGAGTCTCAAAACTCCAGACCGCGGGTTCAATCCCGGCCGGGGGTATGGTTTGTTTGCAATCGTGTTATTACGATTTCTTGAGTCCCAATCAAATATTGCATTGTTACACAAAAATTCACAACAATGCATTAACAACACTACAAACAATGCTTGTCAAACATTAACAGAATAAGTGACTGTATTGAAACTTGCAAAACTACTTCACAATGTTGTACTACATGGCATGTTCTATGTCACTGAAATATTTACCAAGGAAATGTGCAAAAATTTAAGCCAGAACTTTTTGATAGCACCTCATATATACAGCCCCAGAAATTCACAGTACTATTCATGACTCCCACCGAGGCGGAGTGACCCCAAAAAGAAATAAACACTTTCACTATCATTCACACATAATCAATGTTTTTGCAGAGGTGCCCAAGTATGACTAGTTCAGATGCCACTCCAAACAGCCAATATCCCAAAATCCCTCCATGAAAGTGCATTGTACCTCCCACCTCCAGGACTAAAGTCCGGCTAACCGGTTACACAGAATCCCTTCACAAAGTATTACCAAGCTCACACTCCAACAGCTCGTCAAGTCCCAAAAACCATTCGTCTCGACTCTCTACTAACACACTCACACATGCCTGCTATATGTCTAAGCCCCTTGCACACAAAACTTCTTTCACTCCCTCTCTCCATCCTATCCTAGGACGACCCTTGCCCCTCTACAGATTTATACACTCTCCAAGTCATTCTATTTTGCTCCATTCTCTCTAAATGACCAAACCACCTCAACAACTCCTTCTCAGCTCTCTGAATCATACTTTTAATAAGTCCACACCTCCTCCTATATTTTTAAGGCTACTGTAGGTAAGCTACACTGTGTATGATAATTGTACTTATGTGTATCTATGTTTGATTAAGTCAATTTAGTCACTGGTATATACCACTGTTTGTTATACTTCTTGTTGTTGTTGGAATTTATAGGGTAACTAACACCTCGCGCCGTATGAAGCTCTGTCTTCCAATGTTCTTGTAGGACCACTGGCAACCTGCCCTCCAATGTTCTTGTAGGACCACTAGCAACCTGCCCTCCAATGTTCTTGTAGGACCACTGGCAGCCTGCCCTCCAATGTTCTTGTAGGACCACTGGCAGCCTGCCCTCCAATGTTCTTGTAGGACCACTGGCAACCTGCCCTCCAATGTTCTTGTAGGACCACTGGCAATCTGCCCTCCAATGTTCTTGCAGGACCACTGACAGCCTGCCCTCCAATGTTCTTGTAGGACCACTGGCAACCTGCCCTCCAATGTTCTTGTAGGACCACTGACAGCCTGCCCTCCAATGTTCTTGTAGGACCACTGGCAACCTGCCCTCCAATGTTCTTGTAGGGCCAATGGCAGCATACCCTCCAATGTTCTTGTAAGACCACTGACAGCCTGCCCTCCAATGTTCTTGTAGGACCACTGGCAGCTTGCCCTCCAATGTTCTTGTAGGGCCACTGGCAGCCTGCCCTGCAGTGTTCTTGTAGGACCACTAACAGCCTGCCCTCCAATGTTCTTGTAGGACCACTGGCAACCTGCCCTCCAATGTTCTTGTACGACCACTGGCAGCCTGCCCTCCAGCGTTTTTGTAGGATCACTGACAGCCTGCCCTCCAATGTTCTTGTACGACCACTGGCAGCCTGCCCTCCAGTGTTCTTGTAGGACCGCTGACAGCCTGCCCTCCAGTGTTCTTGTTGGACCACTGACAGCCTACACTCCAATGTTCTTGTTCCTGTAGGACAACTGACAGCCTGCCCTCCAGTGTTCTTCTGGTTCTTGTAGGACCACTGACAGCCTGCCCTTCAGTGTTTTTGTTCTTGTAGGATCACTGACAACCTGCCCTCCAGTGGCCTTGTTCTTGTAAGACCACTGACAGCCAGCCCTCCAGTGTTCTTGTTCTTGTAGGACCACTGACAGCCTGCCCTCCAGTGTCCTTGTTCTTGTAGAACCACTGACAGCCGGACAGCTTGCCCTCCAGTGTAATTGTATTTATGTGTACTTATATATGAATAAACTTACTTATAGTTTAACGTATGTGTAAATTACCTAGGATAAACCAAAAAAGACAAAGTTATTTATTTCCATTGGGGTCTTAAATGTGTTTGAAATTGTAACTTCATATTACGTAGTTCATTAGTTACACCTATCAGACCCTATCAGAAATTCTGGGAACAAAAAAGATATCACGAAACAGCGAAATAAAATTAGCAATATCAGATGAACCCCAACTCCCACCAACAGAAACAGCAAACAGACTCAATGATTTCTTCTCCACTATAGGACAAAACCTTGCCAATAAAATCCCAAGCTCAGATACCCCACCAAATGACTACCTCACCGGCAACTGCTGTATAATCCTCCGGGTTTAGCGCTTCCCCTTTATATAATCTAATCACCGACTACCCGAACACACGTCCTAGCTCCGACTAACCCATACGAAGTCTCCCTTATTATCAACGCACTAAAAAACAAGGCAGGAGATTTAAATACCTTACCACCCTTTATATACAAAAAAGTGTCACAAGTACTATCACCAATCATCGCAACACTCTTTAACAAATCCATTGAATCCTCCACCTTCCCTACAGCTCTCAAAATAGCAAGGGTCACCCCGATCCATAAAGGAGGAGACCAAACAGAGTTGAATAACTATAGGCCAATATCCAATTTACACCCTCTCTCGAAAATCTTCGAAAAATTAATTCATAAAGGAATCTACTCCTACCTCATCTCCCAAAACATTCTCAACCCCTGCCAATTTGGATTCAGGCCTAATAAAAATACTAATGATGTTATTATACACATGCTAGAACATATATACACTGCAATAGAGAAAAAAGAAGTCCCACTGGGGATCTTCATTGACTTACGTAAAGCTTTTGATACAGTTGACCATGACTTGCTCCACGTAAAATTGTCACACTATGGTATTAGAGGGCACTCCCTCAACTACCTCAAGTCATACCTCAGCAACAGAAGCCAATATGTGTACGCAAATGGGGCAAGCTCTTCCGCTCAACCAATTACAGTTGGTGTCCCACAGGGAAGTGTCCATGGCCCTCTTCTCTTTCTCGTATACATAAATGACCTACCAAATGCTTCGCAATTACTCAAACCCACACTTTTTGCAGATGACACTACATACGTCACGCTAGCCAATACTGTAAACACCGAATTACAGAAAATATCTACCTGGATGAGGACTAACAAACTTACACTAAACATTGACAAAACCTACTTCATTCAGTTTGGTAACAGAGCTGCAGATGTACCTCTTAACATAACGATAAACAGATCACCTATCACAAAGCTAACAGAGGGAAAATTCTTAGGAATCCACCTTGATAATAGACTCAAATTTCATACACATATACAACAAATTTCTAAGAAAATCTCCAAGACTGTAGGCATACTATCGAAGATACGGTACTATGTTCCACAGTCAGCCCTCCTGGCCCTTTATCACCCCTTATTTACCCCTATCTCACCTATGGAATTTGTGCATGGGGCTTAACAACAATTAACCATCTCAGACCACTAATTACCCAACAAAAGGCTTTCAGTTAGAATGATAACAAATTCTCACTACAGGCAGCACACTCCACCAATATTCAAAACACTCAACCTACTCACCATACAAAACATCCATACTTATTACTGCACCTATTACATACATAGAACACTTAACTCTGATATTAACCCTCCCCTCAAACATCTCCTTGCCAACCTCAACAGAACACATGACCATAACACAAGGCACAGATCACTCTTTGATGTTCCTCGTGTCCATCTCACACTATGCAAAAACTCAATGCACATAAAAGGCCCTAAAATCTGGAATTCATTACCTGTAAATATAAAAGAAACACTACCTGTTTATAAATTCAAGTCTCTTCTCAAAGATCACTTACTCACTCAAAACCAAATAAATACGGAATCACTGAACCTTATAAATTGTATATCCTATATGTTACTCACAATTATATCACACAAATGTTAAACCTAGGACCCAATCTAACTTTGTTATTTTTTTAAATACACTACCTAACAGAATACTCCATTCGACTGAATGTACAGCAATGCAAGCAACGATATGACCTGTCTTTGTAATACTCATTTGTGCTTTATAGTTATCTGTTTACAATAATGTTTTATCACTGATTTCATCATTGCTTAGTTAATCTTAAGTTAATTTTAAGCCAGCCCGTAATACTATGCATATAAGTGGCTTTGGCATGCTGCTCTTACCTGTATTTTTTGTACCTCTGTATGTATGCTAAAATTACTAAATAAATAAAAAATCATTCCATACTATGTATGATAATTTGTGTAACTGTATTTATGTGTATTTGTACCTAATAATAAATCCTAACTAGTCATAAGTTTGCCTATGATACTCCAATATAGACACTTTGTATTGTGCCAAAACAAAAGCATTCACATTGCTAAACTCACAAATTATGATGTAGTCACTTAGCCTTAATACCATAATCTGTAAGGATTTAATGTTAAGAATTAATTTAAGTCTGCCCGAAATGCCTAGCCATGCTAGGTGTCCTAGTGGCCCCCTCTGTAATTAGTATTTTATAACATGTAAACCACACAATACCCAAAACCTGTAAACCCCACATTGTAACCCTTATAGAGAATATACTTGAACTGAATTGAATTGAATAAATAAACTTACATCGATCTTCGAAATGTCCACTGGGCAAAATACGATGAAGACAAGCAACCCAAAGAGAAAAGTGAAAATTTGTCATCAATGGTCAGTCGAGAACTCTGGTTTCCCTTCAAAACTGCGAAATGATCAGACGAGAGTAAGATGTCCTCAAGGCGGACGGCGCAGAAGTTGAAAAGAGGAGGATTATAGTGCCACCACTGCTGTCGCCGACAAGGTCAGGATTATCATCATCATAGTTTTGATGTTTCTAGGAGTATCTGATATTAATTTTAGTTGAACAGTCATTGGTATATTAAAAGGTATAGGACTTACTACACCTCCTTGAAGATTACCATTTTATAATTTCACTTTTGAAGCCCATACATCACGTTTCGCCAGGAAATCGAACTCAGAACCTTTCGGTTGTGAGCAAAATGCTCTGCTTCTGAGCTACACACTGGAAGATAGAGATTAGATTTTACGCAGGGTATATTACTAACAAACCCCGAGCTGTCTTCAAGAGTGAACTCGACAGATTCTGCAAAGCAGCTTCTGATTAGCCGGGTTGTGGTGCATATGCTGGACTGTGGGCGGTGGGCACAAACAGTTTAATCGATCAAGCCAGTAACCAGGCGGCGTGGTCTGGGAGCGGTGACCTACGGAAGCGATTCCAGGTAAGCTCCGAGTAATTCGTTGGACAAGTCATTAAGGCAGGAATTCATATGTATACTAGCATACACTGAAAGATAAACACTTCTTTGTAAATATACGCATATATACATCTGGGTATATATACCATTTGGCGAAAACTCCTTGAAAGATATACGCCTATTGTATGTGCGTTATCCTCATTTTGTGTACATACAGTGAATATAAACATATATACATATTTTGGTGTATACACAGTGCTCTGTATATGTATGTATATCCACCGAGAGACGGATATACATACATATACAGAGTATGTATATGCATCGAGAGATACACACCAAAAGTTTTGGTGTATATCTAGTGAGAAATATACGCCTCTCAGTGTATATACATCGAGATTTATACCTCGTGTGTATATACCTAGATATATACATTTCTTGGCGTATATACATTGAGATATACACCGATAGATGGACACTGAAAGTTTTGCTGTATGTGCAGATATACATAGCTCGATGTATATGAACTGTGGAAAATACTGTATATATTTTCCAGAAATTCAGTATTTATATGTAAATAGATGGCCATACTGTATTTAATAATATTTATGTCATAGAAAACGGAAAGCCTGCGTCTGCGCAGACGGGACTCGCCATCTTGGTTTTGAATTTTGTACAAACGT